CTGTTCAAACCAAAATGACCAACTGATTGATTTCAGTTCCGACCAGTACGAGTCAATCTCTGTTTTGTAAATATGGTAACAACATTATGATTCTAATTTATTTTTCTCTACAATTCATTCCTAAGGTTCATGCTACAACTCAATTAAAAGAGATAGGACAATAGTTTTAGTTTGTAAAAGATTTTGAGTACAAGCACTTAAAATTATATTTATGATTTTACAAATCATATTATTTTTTAAATAAATCATTTATAAAAATAAAAATTACATTTTTTTAGACCATTTTGGCATCTCTCAAAAATAATTTTAGGCCTGCACTGCACAAAATTTTTGAATCCGTCCCTGCACCTAAGTACCCATTATGAGTTGTGTTATTGGTTATACATTTACTAGATTTATTATAATTTTGCTGATAAAGGACTTTCCTAAAACTTAAAATTGATTTCATCCCCGTTTAAATAATTTTGCCATCAGGGTAGTTACCTGCCTTGCATTGACATAAGTCCTAACTTGTTCATGATGCCGACCGTTTTGAAAAATGGTTTTGATAGCTTTTATAGCATTGTACTATTCTTTTCAAATATTTAGGGTGAAAAGGAAATTTAAAATTTTTTTCAAGATTTTTCTTATTAATATGTGAATTTAAATAAAAAATAATAATTTCATCTCACTATACGATTCCGTTACAATCTTACTTATACAATTCAAAAATAAAAACTAAACGTTACTAAGGAAGCGCGTTAACTGTAAAAACTTGATGGAAGTGAAAACTATAGTGGAGCCTCTGCCTGGTGGATGTTGCAGAGAGTTATATCCATAGTACAATGAAAAAAAAAACTCGTCCATTGACGTTATATTTATTCAATTCTTCTTTAAAATTAAGATGGTTAACTTATTTTTACTTGAAAAATGCACTCTGAATATTATTATTATTATTTGTTGAATAAAAATATGGAAAAGCCCATGCGTGATGCCTCGTATTCCTTCTCATTACTCTTTGCTTTTTGTTGTGGGCTTTTTTGGGTAACCCATTTTCCACGTCAAAACATGTCACGTAGGCCCATTTGATTATGTCTATATAGTACTTCTGTTTCTGTACCGAGTCAAATTAACCGTACTTGTATTCCGTATGACGCATTGCTATGCTTTTCCTTTTACACGCAAAAAAGTATTTGATTCCGTCCAAATGGATCAGTACACATATTCATATACCGTGAATTAAATATATGTAAAAATATTTAGAATAATAATTTGTCAAAGTTTTATTTTCATTTTTTAAAAAAATGTTTTTCGAAAAAGGAAATTAATATTCTTATTTAAAATGACACAATTTGTGCCACAATATATATTTAAAGTGTTTTTCTATTCGTATTGTAATTCTATACATTATACATATAACCAAGGGTGAGCTAAACCGAGCTGAAACCGGTCCAAATCGTGCAATGGTACAATTCGATTGTTTTTTTATGTAAAGAGAAAAAACGATTCGATTTCAGTACAATTTTTTTTTCTATATTATGGTGCAGTTATAATTTTTCTTATGTTCGTTTTTCGGTCTGTTCTATTCGGTGCAGTTTTACACCGAACTGCATCAAATTGAATAGAATGAATACAAAAACCCTAATAGAATAGAAAATTGTGCTGAATCATGCATTTCGGTGTAGTGCTGCCAATTACTTTTTTCTAGGTTCGATTTTACAGTTTTTTGCGATTCGATACGGTTTGATACTCATTGCTCACCCCTACAATGATGGCTGAAAAGACATTAACTAAATTGATATATAATTTATCGATTTTGAATAAAACTTTGAACTTATGCTTTTGGAATTGATGATTATAAAGACCAACCGATATATAAGTTATCAATTTTTATGATTGATTTATCGGTAATTGATCGCGAATATAATATGTGGCACATGTTTGTAAGAAAAAACTTCATTTGTTTATGTTCAATATATACAATTTTTTATAGAAATTTGCCAATTTTAAAACATTATATGGTGAAAGTTAAGAATTAATCAAAGTTAAGAATGGATTAATCTGAAAGGTTAAGAAAAAATCCTAAAATCTTTCACTGCGTATATTCTTTATTAGGTTATATCACATTGTTTGCAAGATTGAGCATATACAAATTTCAAAAGTTATTTTATTTCTTTTCGTAGGGGTTGACTTTTTTCACTTTTTGATCCTTTTCTTACAATTTGTATAACGAGAAATATTTTGTAGATTTTGACGTGGATAGATTCCTGGATGAGTACAACCACAGAAATTAGTGGAACAATTTGCCTTTTACTTTCCTTGGATGCTATAAATTTCTCTATCTTTTTAGAAGATTGATGATAAAATAAAACAATTTGATATATTGACACATTTTAATCTCATTACAACCATTTTAATAAGGAGATATCCATTAAAGATTTTGGTTGATATATGTTACGAAAATCAATTATTTATGATTAGAAACTACACATTGATTTCCGATTTTCACGTGTCAAATACATATCACTAACCATGTTAATTTTGAGTTGTTATTAGTTTAAGGTAATTTCATTAATCATGACTTTTAAATTACCACGTCTAAGTACAAAATTTTTTGAACTGTTTTGATGTTACGGAAACCAAATCATCGAGAAATGAAACAACACCTTGTGATTTGTATTCATCAATAACATAAAATGAACCATAGAATCCTTGTGGATTTCTTTTATAACACTTATACATATATTTTATTATTTAACAATTTTATTCCATTTTAATCTTTATTATTAACAGGACGTGAAAATAAGCAAAATAAAATAATCAACTANATAATAAAAAAAAAAAAACTCTTTCGTTATAATATTAAGAGTTGTGTATGATTTCACGTGTATTTTAGGAAAAATAAATTAATGATTTTTATTATTATGAACAATTATTTATTATTATTAGATAATAGCAGTTTGATTATTATTATTATTATTATTATTATAAAAACAATTGTTTATAAGATTCTAAAGTTGTTTGACTATGTTATTAAAACAATTTACTAATTATTTTTAAAGAAATTTTTTCATGAGATACAAAAGAAAAAGATAATATTGATGTTAAAATAAATAACTTGAAACAATTATTCATAATTATGCAATTTATATTTATTGTGAATTATTATTAGTTGGTATTAGCATTAATTATTATATAATATAATAGATAAATAATTGATTACACTCAATAGGATGTATGAATGTGATAAGTAAAAAACATTAATGACAAATTTTGTAACCGAAAATGGAGGGAAAATTTTAGAGGTTTTATTAAATAGGTTTTCTTAAATGTTATTAGCTATAAATGGACAGTTATGGCAAAAGTATTTATTTGTCTGAAAAGCCAAGTGCAAAACGCTCCAGATTTGAGCATTTTTATTTTAGCTCTTGGAGCAAAAAAGCTAACCTAAAAAACTAATTACGAAACATCTTTTCGATTGAATTTGAAAAAGTCAAAACGCTAATTTACCCAAAAAGCTAAAATATGGCAAAACGCCATTTTACCAAACAAGGCGTTTTGACTCTTTATTAGAAATACACTATTCCATAACCTAAAAATTCCATAAAAATATTGTTAGATTATGGCCCTTTTGTTTTAGCTAATTGAATGAGCTGAATATAAGTATCTAATTGAATTAGATGTTTTGACTAACCGATTAAAATATCTAATTATATATGTAAAACTTTTTGATAAATAATTAGTTGTTTTGTATAAAAAAACCCATTAATTTAACAATTTTATGTTCCAAAAAGCTCATGTTTTGTGTTTTTATTTTTATAAAAATAGTTTTTTAAGTTCAAAAGGCTATTTTACTAAAACCACTAATTTGACTCAAACATGTAATTTAGCCTAAAAACACTGACTAAAACCACACAATATGCCCCCTTTTNCTAAAACTAAAAAAATCCACCTACTAAAATTCAGGCTGTGTCTATTCTTATCTCTACCACCAAATTGTTGGCATCACAAATTGTTGTGTTGTGGAGTTGCAGAGGCTAAAAACCATTTGAAAGTGTGAAACAAAGGAAAAAGCCAAACAAATATAGGGACAGAAAAGGAAATTCGATAAAATATGCAAAGTAAAACACAAAGCCCTTGAACTGCTTAGCCCACTCCTTCTGTTATAGTGGTTGGGCCTTATTTAATTTACACTTATTTTGAAAACAAAGCCCAGACTTCGTTATCCGAATTTGTTTTTTGCTCCCCACCCACACTCTCACCGACGACGCGTGCTCATCACGCTCCCCGAGTTTAAAATTTTGGAGAATTTTCAGCATTTAACTGAAATTAGTTGATTGCAACAAAATTAACTGATTTCAAACAAACTTGCAAAAATTAGGAGATCTTATTCAACATATGCTTTTATTGGAAAATTATTAGTAATTGTTGAGAAAATATTGAACAAACGATATTCTAATTGTTTCATTTATTAGATTATTGCTATATCTCCACAAAAAAACTTAAAAGAATCTCATTATTTCAATTTACCATAAATTTTTTATTCTCTGTGCATAATAGATAGATATAACTTGAAAATAATTTTCTATAAAATGATACTATTTATTTTGAAAGTGAGGTAATGGTATTTTTTTATTGTAAAATATGTCTATGTATATTACTTTTATAAATTAAGTTGCAAATCGCCAAGATACAATTTTGTATAAATCCAAAAATAAGATCCATTAAAAAACAACATTAAACTGATAATTATAATAGTTGAATTATTATTATTATTATTATCATTATTATTATTAAATCATAAAGCATTAAAAATAAAAATAAATAAAGCAGAAAAAAAGGGGTAGCCGCGAGTGTGAACGACGGATCTGGTCAACGCCGTCTGACCACGCCCTTTAGGTAAATGCGGACAAATCTGGAAACCGAAAGGGTCAGAAGAGTAATTCGCACCCCAACCCACTCAAAATCTCAGTTTCCTTATCATTGTTTTATTTAATTATTAATAAGAAAATGAAATTATTTCCTGTGACAATAACTGTATATATATATTCTGCTGACTCTCATTTTTCCATTATCCCTCAAACAAAGCACAATCACACAAAGAGAAACAATCACAAAAACACGCAGTAGATGAGAACCAGGCGAGGGCTATGCTATCCTCGACTGCCCAACATGTGTGCCGTGAATAATCGTAGGAGGAAGCCGGCGGCGGCCGCCGGAGAACAACCCGGATGCCGGAAAAGGATGCGGGCCTCGCCGGAAAACGGTGGAGGGTGTGATTTGTTCGAAGCCTTGCCGGACGATATCGTCCTCTGTGTTCTCTGCAAACTCGGCTCCACCGCCGGCTGCCCCGCTGATTTCATCAACCTTCTCATGACGTACGATTTTTATTTTTTGTTTCCAATTGTTTGTTTTAAAAATTTTGAAAGCAGAAGATTTCGCCATCCTATTTTGAAGGGATAAATATTGTGTTCTTTTTGGTTATAAATAATTGAATCATTTTTTTTTTCCCAAAATTGAAGTCTTGAATTATTTCGGTTGAATCTATATGTATTTTGCTTGTTTATTTATTTAAAGTTAAATGATTGGATGAACAGATGCAAAAGGTTTAATAGACTAGGGCTCCATTCTCTGGTGTTATCCAAAGCCTGTGAGAAGATGTTGGCAGTGAAGGCCCAAAACTGGTCCGAGTCGGCTCACCGATTCCTCAAACTCTGTGCCGATTCCGGCAGCGTCGAGGCTTGTTACACTCTTGGCATGGTTAGTATTTTTTTTTTCCAACTATTTTGAAATTTGTATAATTTATAAGTAAATAAGAGTGCAAGTTCCAATTTTTAAGCCGAAAGATGCGATTTTTATAAAATCCGAAGAAAAATGAAAGAAGTTTTGACTGAGTTAACTCACCCGAAACAGATTCGATTCTACTGCCTGCAAAACCGAGGGAGCGGCGCATCCCTGATGGCCAAGGCCGCGATTGCATCGCACGCGCCGGCCCTCTACTCTCTCGCCGTCATCCAGTTCAACGGAAGTGGCGGCTCCAAGAACGACAAGGACCTCCGCGCCGGCGTCGCCCTCTGCGCCCGCGCCGCCTTCCTCGGACACGTCGACGCCCTCCGGGAACTCGGCCACTGCCTCCAGGACGGGTATGGCGTCCGCCGGAACGTCGCCGAGGGCCGCCGCTTCCTGGTCAAGGCCAACGCCCGCGAGCTCGCTCTCGTCCTCGTCGCCAACCCCTCCGCCGTCGTCCCCCGCTCCTGGCTCACCTGTAACCACCACCGACAGCCGGCCTCCGCTGGAGGCGGCTGCCCCCTCCTCAGCGATTTCGGCTGCAACGTGCCGGAGCCGGAGGCCCACGCTGCCAACCGGTTCCTCTCGGGTTGGTTCTCCGGTCGGGCCGAGGACGGGCTGGGCTCGGGCCTCCGCCTGTGCTCGCACGCGGGCTGCGGGAGGCCCGAGACGCGGCCGCACGAGTTCCGGCGGTGCTCGGTTTGCGGTGCCGTGAACTACTGCTCGCGCGCGTGCCAGGCGTTGGATTGGAAGCTCCGCCATAAAAAGGAGTGCAGCCCTGCGGAGAGGTGGGGGGACGACGAGGAGGACGGCGGTTTTGACGGTGACGGCGAGGACGTTCTAAATCTTAACGGCGAGGAAGAGAGTTGAATAATATAGTTAACGGCGGTCGTCCAGTGGACTGTGAATGTGACGGTAACGGCACGGGAGTCTTAGCGGGGGTGAAAGGAAAAAGATAAAAGTATGTTGGGGTGAAAATGAAGGAAAGGGAAAGATCTAAGGCCAAATTTTTGGGGAATCGAGTTTAAAAATCTTGCGCCTATGGTCATGTTTTGTGTAGGGAATGTAAAGTGTAGACCCGGCAATTTTTAAAATTTTTAAGTTTAGTCTTTTTCTCTTTTCATTTTCTTTTCTATTATGGTTTTTTAAGCATTTCTTGCTAGTATTATGTGGTATATTTTATTGGAATTGGATCTTAGAATTAATCAAGAAACCAAAAAAATAAAAATAATCTTCTATATGTCAATTTTGGTAAATTTCTTTCTAACTTGCTTATAAATGGGTCGGATTGAGCACTTGAGCTAATAGTGCTGCGCATCTGCTCTTTATATTAACAAGTCAATAACTCGAGCTTCAACTTAACTCATTTATTTAACGAAGTGATCTCGAACTTTCACAATACCTATTATAGAAAATTAAATGAGGACATCATCTAGGAAAAAAAATCCTATATCCATTTTGGTAAATTTTATCCCACATACCTACACGGGTATTTTTTAATAGTTGGATAAAAAACATATACATCAGTGTGCGGTGAGTGAGAGTATGTTATTGAATAATAAAAAATTATAGGATGTACAAGTTGCCCTTAATTTCTTTCAGTTGTACTTTCATTATTATGGAATGAAGAAATGCATTAAAGTGAAGGATTGATAATTCATTTGAAAGTGGGGGAGTCTAATGTGAAAAAAGAAAGAAAAAAATGGGGACCAAATGATAAGGGAATGTTAATGTTGCTGGTCTTTATTCACACTTCTCAAATGACAGCATATCACATGATATGTGAGTCATGATCATGGGCAAAAAGGGGCTCCAAAGAAATTTTTATTCTTGAATTTCTTCAAAACAAAGTGAGATTCTTTTCAATAAGTGCTTTCATAGTGCAAATTATTAGGTGAAACTTATGAATTGTGTGTTGTATGTATAAATCATATGAAAAATAGAAGTGTGAAATAAAATCAAAACACATTAAAGCTCATTTGAATCTACAACGTGAAAGACTGAAAGTGGATCAAAATTAGATTTGAAAATATCTAATTAGTCCAAACAAATTGCAAGAATTCTATTCAAACATTTATTCGAAAACATTCATGTTCCCAGTCCACGGTGGAATATACTCAACGAGTATATGATTGAAAAATTACGAAATCTGAATTTACAATAGATATGTTAAAGAGTACAAGATATTGATACATAACAAACTACCATGTGAACAATTTGGGAATCATATAGTGAAGGAAAAATAGAAGTCTTATTGACCTAAAAATAAAATTAAAAAAAAAAAAAAGAAAAAAAAAAAAAAGTAGTACAGTTTTTTGTAGTTACTATTATGTGGAGTGAGTGAGGAGGATCCTAGGTAGCAAGTGAAACCTAAGGTCTCAAGGACCAATCTTGGTAATTTTACTGTTTCTTTTGCTGTTGGTACATTTATGCTTGGTCAAAAAATGTCAGCCTGTGAGGCATTGACCAAAGCACAAAAAGGAAAAAAAGTGAAAAGAAAAACAAAAGGGTGCAAAAAAAAAGAAGCAAATAAAGAAAAAATAATTGAATGAAAGAGGGTAAAAAAGGTAAAGCAAATAAGAATGTGAGGAGACAAGGGCATAATTGTCTCGTGACTTTTATCTCCTACTAGAAGATATTGAGACCCTCGAGGTATGTCATAGTTTGGAATGTGACATTGAATAATGCAGTAGTATAATAGAGCATTTACAATACTTTTGGATATTTTTTAAAAGATATTTGTTTGTTGCCACATTGAAAGTAGATTCAATGTAAAAAAGATGTTTTGGAATGTAACCTTAATAATGTGGTATAGCAGAGCATCTACATATTTTGGAAATAGATTTAATGATTTAAAAGATCTTTTTAAAATGCATGTGAAATTGGATATAATCAAGGTGAAGTGATAGTTAAAGAAAAAAAAAATGTAGTCAACCTTAAATTTTCTTTGAGACATGAATAGAGAGCTAATCTTTTGCATTTGAATTATTTTGATATTTTGTTTTGTTACTTTGATTTATCTATGCAATCAAAAACCTATATTGATTTACATGTCACGTAACTCCAATTAGATTCAAATCATTATGGATGTTTAATAAACAACTTCATCTACATTGTTAAGTAGAGTTTGTTGTATAGTTGAATTTGTATAATTAATGTACACATTTTATCTTATATTTATATTTATCCACCTCACTAGTCACTACTAAGCTTGATTTATAATGTAACAAGCTGTTAATGGATGTGGGGTCTTGATTACTAATAAATGCATTCTGCTAATTAATCAAATAAACAACTGAAAGATCGAGGAGCTCTATGTTGTAGTGGGACTAACAGTAACAGTAGAGCAAATTCATTTTTCTTTTTTCTTTTTTGATCTTTTTCTTCTTTTATCAACATTATTACGTGTATTTACTATCCCAACCCAAATCTAAGAATTTCAAAGCACAAGCACAAAGAAAGAAAAGTAATCGTAACAGCTGTGGTCCATTCTTTACAAGCCCAAGAATTAAAAACCCATTAAAAGCCATATTTTATTGGTTGAGAATGTTAAGGACAAGCACTATATACATAGTGCAACAATATGTTACACTCATATTGGCTACTTCTGTTGATTTTAACTTATTTAGGGAAAAAGATTGAATTTATTTTGATTTCAATGGCTTAATTTTCTCTTATCTGTTCCCCAACACTCAACCAAGTGAAAATTCAGTCACAAACCGATGAATTATTATAAGTGCAAGCAAAACTTGATGCTAAAGCTACCTACTTAGATAAGGTTTTTATAGAAATAAACTAGTTGTGCATATAAATATAGGACCCCATCATCCATATATACTTATGGGTTTTCATAATTTTTTTTCCGTAAGTGAAAATTAACGTCTATACGATATTGAGATTACAAATTTTTGTGTGAGACGATCTAACCGTTAAAAAGGACGACATGTCATATATTTGTAATAATAATACATATTTGTGAAATTATTATACTATTGTTTTGTAGAGTATGATATTTCAAATTTGAAAGTATATGTATACATATAATTTCCTAACTGTTAGGCCTAGTTAAACAATATTTACGCGGTATATATGAATTTTCATACTTATGTATTTCAAATTACATTTTACCA